CCCCCCATCTGAGTACCTCCCCCCCCCACCTTGTCTCAAAACAGAAAGCAGCACTACAGCAGTACTGGTACACAGGCCGGAAGGGGGCGGTGCTCTTACTTGAGCGGTGTGGGGTTGGGCGAGGTGGATGTCCTGAGGAGCGGTGCTCTCGCGGTCTTCTCCTGAGACGGTAAAATAAAACACATACAAAGGGGCGCCGTGAGTGCGAATTCGGGGGGTGTACTCACCTTTGGCTGCCTTAATTGTTAGACCATTGAACACGCGTCCTCAAGAGGACAGAGCATTATTTCCACAGGACCGATCACCGATGGCCAAACTACCTTGCCAAAGGTGGCTCAGACATTGAGATGGGGGGTGGGTAGGGGGAATCTCATCAGCACCACGCCAATGCCAGCGAACGTATCGAAGACGATCGGAGGCAATGGAGGCCCGCGCATGCGTAGCGGTTGCAGAGTGTGCATGGCGTGTGACCAAAACATCCAAAGACAGGGGTAGAGAAACAAAACACAACAAAACTCCTGTGTATCTACCTACCTGCAAACCGCAACCGCAGCTGCCGAACCAAAGCAGCAGCAACGTACCTTGAAAACCCAGAAAAAACAATGAAAAGCGACACCAAAGAGGTGCTGAAAGCGCACTTGATTGGGGTGAGCGCTAGCTTGGCATGCGGCCATTCACACGGCGTCGGCCATTGAGGTGACCGCCGTGACGAACGAAAACAGCGAGTGACCGTTGTATTTTCTCCTTGATTTTTCACAGCGTGTACTGCGGTACCACTCTCGTTGGGGGTACACATAAGGCGGCGTCCGCGCGAGTGTTACCGGTGCAGATACCTGGTAGTTAGAAGCTACGAGCAGCCACCGGGGCGCAGTTCTTAGTGTAAAAACGACGACTGGTACACTAACAACAACAACAACAACAACGACAACAACAACAACAACAACAACTACAGCATAAAATAAAACACAACAACTAACGCAACCAGGCACCGTACCAACGAGAGGATCTGAACCACACAGCAGTGCTGGCTCTCGTATGAGACCGCACAAATACGGCTGACCCCCCGGCGCAAGCCCGGTGATACAGATGGAACTCCAACTCCTTTCATACTCTGAACATAAGGCCGGGTGACCGGTATACAAGGCCGGCCACATACCTGGGCAACTTGGGGCCATATTCAGCGAACACAACTTGCTGCTGTTTCAACTACCCTCAATCAATTCAGCGATCACCAAATGCTGCTCCACCAACAAGCAAGACATGAAAAAGCCAAAGAAAAAAACCCACAAATCAGACTAGGGCACACCGTAGCGTACCTCGTTGAGCGAGGTTTCGATCAGGTCCTTGAGGGCGGCGTCGGTCATGGACGGGATCGGTCCCATCGGGGGTGCTCCGCGTCTCTTCGAAAGGCCACCGGAGTCGCCGCTAGCCCGTCGGGTTTCCACCTGGGTGGAAGGCCGGCTTGACCGACGCCGCTGTGTCCCCCCTTGCCGCTGCCGTTGGTCCGAAGTGGATTCCGCGGAACCCCTACGGCTTTCGCCGGAGGGCCCCCTGCGCTTGCCTGCGCATTTTAGCACGAATACCAAGTGTGATTCTTACCATAGGTACAAGTGATCGCTCCGGAGTGGGTGGGCTCATGAAAGCACAGCAGTGTAAAGAAGAAGTGCTGCAGCAAGTCAGGAAGGACAGTCCGCAGGGTGGCTGCCAGCTTGCCATTCATGACGTTCCCCAAGCTAAGCAGCTCCCACAGCTGCTGGCGTCTTGTCACTCCAAGAGCCCAGCGAACCCCCACGAACCAAAAAACAAAAATTCATGAAACTGCATACAGTCTTAGTCTCACCCTACCGCACAACATAGGACACGCACACCCCGCCGTACGTTGTAAACATCTACCTGTACAAAAGCAAAGCACCACCCGCACTTTGCCAACGGAATTCCTACGCACGAAGATTGAGATTTCGATGGCTTTCTCGCGTCGTGGGGCACGCAGGGACAAGGGCCTTCCCATCGCAAGAGGTGGACGACGATAGGCGGCATCTCCTATCGGAGTACAAGACATGCACCGCAGAAAGTAGTCTGGATATATTTTTAGCACCTTTTCTGTTGTGCAGGAAAGAAGAGCACGCTCAACAGGGGTGGCGTATGTGTGCGGCACAACGTGTCATGTACGATCCCGCTTTCGTGATATGGTACATTCTTGCCTTCCGTGTTGCTCCCTGTGGCGACTTATTTGCGCTATGATGGGCCAACAATAACGAGTTTTCCGCTCACCCGACTGGGAAGGTCTTTTCGACTGAGACGAAGACTTGCCATCTACCCCGCCACCCCGCGCGCCTCTCTCAGCCTCCTCCTCGTCCTCCTCGTCTACCCCCGCAATAAGGCTCGCTGAACCATCTTGGAGGACGGAAGCGCCCGCGCGACCAAACCTGCCACAAAAGTACAAAAACACCAGTTTGGTAAGACTTTCGCCCAGGCGAGCTGGCGGACAGGTGTTGCGAGACAAAACCACACCTAACCGGAACTCAAGACTTCCCATCGCAAAATACAAAGGCACGACGGATCGATGAATCCCACAACGGATGGAAGTGAAAGTCCGCCCCAAGAGTTGCGGCGGGTGGACAAGTAGTTCGGACTATTCTAAAACACCATCCTGTATCGGTTTTCTTCTCTGCAACCTGGTTGGCCACCTAATAGCGGCAGTTCAGCCCCCTCTTTTAGGTTCGGCGTTTTACCATTGTGTGTTAGCCTCTACTTCCGCAAGGGCAAGAGTACCACAAGGTTCGGTACGAACGCACCGTTCGGCGGCTTCGCGAGGATACGGGGCACCTAGCACCTGCGATTAAGAAACAAAGCCTCAGACTGTGGCGATACACAAGAAAAAATCGACTGAAAATTGCACCTCTAAGAAGCAAAGGCTCAGACTTTGGCGAGAAACAAGCCCGCGAATAAGAAACAAGCCTTGAAGAAATGATGACTCAGACTTTGGCTATACAGTCGACCCGGTTTAAGGACGCACATGGTTTTACCTGAAGAAAAGCGTCCTAAAAGCGGAGTTGCGTCCTTAACATTCAGGGGACGATAGCTCACCATCCCCGGGGACAATGGAGGCATGCTATACCTCAAACTAGGCGTCTTTTGCTAAGGGGGTGGTACGAAAAGTCAGCATCGCCGAGACGACTGGCAACCGTTTGTTGACGTCGAACATATTAACAATACTTGAAATGAGATGTACAGCAGTCAGGGACGTTGAAAAACAACTGCAGTACACCAGTTTGTACTTGGCCAACCAATGTACTGCATAGCCGGCAACGGAAGAAGGAGCAAAGTCCAAGTAGACAAATATTTATCTCATTCTTGTGGAACAAAAAAAAAAACGAGCGTATTTCAGCGTCGCACCAAGGAACACCGGTACATATCACTGTCCCGACGGAGACCAAAAGCTACCCTGATGGCTTTTCCTTCCAGATATCGCGAAGAGTTCCCTGAACCTCCACCAGCGGCTTGGCTCTACGGCTCTGTTGAGTTCCATGAGTAAACGAATGAACGGTCTTCGAAAGAAGGTACTGCGTCTCACAGTACTCGCCACCCTTTCCCTTCGCGTACAAAAATAGATGGCGACTTCACCACATCCCTTTCGACTGAGGTTATGTCTCGAACGGGAGGTCTTCCTGTGAGGATATGTTTAGACTACACTTTCTAAAAACACAGATAGCGCCCGCAGTTGGGAAAAATTCTGCGAAGGAAAAGGCGCAACTTTGTACGAAAAATAAGAACAAGGGGCTAAGAAACATAGCTCAATCTCGGCCACAACGTAAGAAACGCCCCAGCAAGAAACGTGATGGTGCGATACCCGCATGACGTGAGAAATCTGCGTTGCTCCCGACCCTCTCCCAAGCTGAACAGAAGTGCATTTTTTTTTGAAGGGGGCAGAGTCCCCCCCCCCCCCCCCCCCCCCCCCCCC